TATAAAATCCCTCAGTTGTATGCACAGCTAAACAGAACTGTCTTTAACCTGGTTTTAAACATTGTCAGAGAGGAGACCTGTCTCACATCTTCAGGAAGACTGTTCCAGATTTTAGCAGCATGAATCTGAAAAGCAGCCTCCCCATGTTTAGTTCTGACTCTGGGCACTAACAGGAGTCCAGTCCCTGTGCTCCTCAGAGTCCGGGCTGGTTCATATGGGACTAACATGTCACTAATATATTTTGGTGCGAGGCCATGGAGAGACTTGTACACAAGCAGAGCTGTTTTAAAGTCTATTCTCTGAGCCACAGGAAGCCAGTGCAGAGACCTGAGGACCGGACTAATATGGTCGTACTTCCTGGTTCTAGTCAGGACTCGAGCTGCTGCATTTTGGACATACTGCAGCTGTTTTACAGCCTGTTTGGACAGACCTGTGAGCAGGCCATTGCAGTAGTCTAACCTACTGGAGACAAATGCATGGATAAGAATCTCCAAGTCTGCTTTAGACACTATGTTTTTGATCCTGGCAATGTTTTTTAGATGGTAAAAAGCTGCTGATGTTACTGATTTGATGTGGCTATTAAAATTTAAGTCTGAGTCCAGTATTACCCCTAGATTTCTGACCTTGTTTGAAGGTTTTAGGGAGAGAGACTGTAGGTGACAGATGACGCTCTCTCTTTGTTTCTGGGGACCAAAGACAATCATTTCAGTTTTGTCTGCGTTTAGCTGAAGGAAGTTGTTTTGCATCCACTCACTGATCTGTTGGATACAGTGAAGGAGTGAGTCCACTGGTCCATGTTCTCCTGCAGTCAGTGAGACATAGATCTGAGAATCGTCTGCATAGTTGTGATAGGACACTTTGTTTCTGCGTATTAACTGACCTAACGGCAGCATGTAGAGATTGAACAGAAGAGGAAATTAAGAACAGATCAAAAGCCAGACATTTCAGAATGTTGACATACAAAGAATAAAGCTTTACATACAATAAAGGTGAATTAATTATTAATTTTTGGCAAAAAAAATTATATTATTTTTTAAAATTATGTCATGTGTTTTGCTAAATACCTATCATACATCACATACTGTATATCAGAATATTCTATTGCAGTTAAATCCAACTTTGAATATTAATGTACGTCAAAGACATGTTAATGTGATAAACAGAAAAACAAACAAAATTGCTCATACGTGTAGCACGACAACTTGGTTTAGTTTTTAAACCCTCTATGGCTGAAGGAGTTGAAAATATTGTTCTGGTAGTTAGAACGCCCTTCTCTATTCTAGACTTTCATCGTCACATCCTGTGAAACAAAGGTCAGTTGACCGGAAGTCGGCCATGTTGGTGGTAAAGCACTCTGTTGTAGCAGTATGGCCATGCTCTCTAATGTCACATTAGAGTCTTTCAAGCATCATTTCTTTGAAGCAATGCCATACAATTGTGCCGTGTTTAATTGTGCTAACAACAGCAAGCCTGACAAGGACAAATTTAGTTTTTATCGTTTCTCGGACTTGTTTGGTTTACAACAAGTTGTTTATGTTTCGTTTTTGTAGATTTGAAATCCATCTCGCAAATTTAAATATAGGGCAAGTGCCCTATATTTTCATGTTTGACACATGTTGGCATGACCCACTTGCTCTTCTCCTGGGTACAGGGAACTGAACCCTCCGCACCGCAGCTTCTACTGCTAACAACAGTGCTCCTACATGGGAACAAGCTTCCCATGAGGCCAGCCATGCAGTTGCAGTGCACAAACATAACATTTCCGTCATTCTCAGCCACAAACCAAGTTTTCAACGGTGTTTCTCGCGCTCTCTGGGAATGGTTGCTTTAAAAAGAATAAAACGACAATCAGCAAACAGCATTTGTAGATACAATATCTAAAACTCAAAAATTACTTATACATTATCTTTATTACTTACCCAAGAAAAAACAACTGACTTGTCAACACAAACTTGCTTTGCCTGAAGTTTTTTCATCCAGCCTCACATGAAAAAGTTGTATGCTTCCATTGATTTGTTCAATCAGTGTACCCACCAACATGGCGGACGCTGATTAGGTCATCAGTTTTGGTCACGTGGTTGAAAGTCAAGAACAAAAGAGAAAAAGAGGGATTAGGAGAGCCAGGATTTTGCATCGACCAGAGGATGGGAACAACAGCTTGTCAATAAGCTAGGCTAAGATCTATGAAGAAAACACGGCGCCACGTTCTGCCCACAGCCGTGTCACCCGCTGTTAATAAGCGGTATATGGCAATTATTTTGTGGGCAGTGACGTTTAATAAAAAAAAAATTTAAACTAAACTCATGTGTGAACACATACTGCTGTTATGACGCCCCATTATACTTATATTGTAGTTAGACTTTCCCACATTTATGCTGCTAACTGGGTCCTGAACACTCGTGTTGCACTCATGTTCTCAGAGTACTGTCAGAAAAGAAAGTTATGCATTGTGCCGAGTGCGTCATGAGTGTGTGTACAAACTACAGCGATGTGCCTCCTGTCGTTTTAACACAGGAGGCACACTGCTATGGGTAGTCTGTGGCACTAAAAAAGCCGGAGATCTCTGGGTTAGGACATCACTGCAGGCAGAGGTCTGAAATGCATGACCCGCCACTGTTATAGTTTTCCCGCATCACCCATACTAATTATGAGGCCCTTTCGATGCCCCCTTTTTGTCACGTGGTTGCAACCCAGCAATAATGTAATCTCCCCCGAGAAACCCACTTTCTCTGGTCTCTTTCCTCTCCACAGAAAGATTTTCTGGTCTCTTCTTTGGACTGTCTCTGGACTCTCTCTAGGTTCTCTGGGTTCTCTTTGGACTCTCTCTGGTTTCTCTTTGGACTCTCTCTGGTCTCTCTTTCCCCTGGTCTCTCTCTCTCTCTGGTCTGTCTCAGGTCTCTCTTTCTTGTCTCTGGTCTCTCTACTTGTTTCCTATTTTGAGTCCATGATTTTAGCCTGAATTTCTCAAAGAAAACATGTTATTTATTTATTTTTGCCAGACAGCAGTGTGTAAGAACCTTTTTTTTTTTTATAGCTTGGATGGATCTAAAATAGCTCCAGGTCTGTTGTTGATGAGGGTCACTGTTACATGGTTAAAACCAAACTCCAAAAACTCTATGCATTAAATTATAGACTGGAAACAAATGACCAGACACAGTGATCAATAAAGATTGTGTTTCGACATAGAATCCTCATTAAAGATGCTATGTCCTCTGTATAAAGTGTCTCTGTGTAACTTTGTGGTTTTGGGAAGCAGGTCACATCAGGTTCTCAGATCTGCTGATGGAGCAGAGCAGCAGTTAAAATAGAATAAACCCTATTGCCCTTTGAGGTACATTTGCCTTGACCTCTGTACAAGTTGCTGCCTAATGTCACATAACTATAAAAATAATAAGTGAAACAAGTGAAAATGCTTAGAGTTCATTAATTGAATACAGAGCATTTTATTGGCTAATTACTGTGGCAGGAAAAACAACTGTAGCATTGATAGATAAATAGCTAGATACTTTATTGATCCCCAGAAAGATAGAAAGACAGGAGAGAGAGAGATTGAGCAGAGACCAGATAAAATGACCAGAGATAGACCAGAGAAAGAAATCAGAGAGAGAGAGAAACAAGAAAGGAAGCAGAGGGGCCAGTGAGAGAGAGAGAAAAAAGATAGACTAGGGAGAGAGACCAGCGAGAGACCAGAGAGAGAGAAATGTGAGGCAAATCAGCAAGAGACCAGAGAGAGAAAGTTGGATCGATAGAGGACAGCTTGAGATGTTTTGGAATATTTTCTTCTGGTTTCCTGAAGGAATGAGGCCCCTCAGAGCCTACTTTTGCTTTATTTGGTGACAATAAAGTTGCACAAATAAACAATAAAAGTAAGTTCTACCAATGTTCACAGTGATAAGTCTGATGTCACCTTTCACAGTTCCTGTAATATTGGAGATGTTCTGCAGCAGATTACAGCAGATCTCTGTTGTGAGGCGTCAGCAGAACCAGGCTCACGCTGAGTCGTGTCAAAACGATTTAAACTGAACCTAAACCAATTATCACATGCTGCAGGATCCATGAAGGGATCCATCTGTGACGAGAGAGACCTGAAATACAAGATGGAGAATCAGAGACGCTCAATATCTCTGTTGTTTCATATTCCAGGGAAAGTAAAAGAGCTTTACAGACTGATTTTTGGTTCCAAGTTCTGTTGAAACCAGAATCTGCTAAGAGCTGAAAAAAATGATGGAATATGAGGTAATAATGCTTGAATATCCATCCATCCATTTTCAACCTCTTAATCCATTTCTGGGTCAGGGGGGTGGCCAGAGATGTCAACCAGTACACATAGCACCAGCCCCTCACTGATCGTCCTGCAGGTGGTGAGTCCACAGGAGCTTAAGATCTATCAGCGGGTGCTTCAGGCAAAGTGGGGGGTTAAGTGTTGTGCCCAAGGACACAACGACAGCAGTCATCATGGGGGTCGGTGGAGAGGGTCTCATGGTGGGCTCGAACCCACGACCTACAGCCTCAAAGGCCAATGCTCTACCGATTGGAGCCACTTTCGCCCCCTCCCTCCTGCAGCTGGACAGACTTTTACGCAGTCGTGTGGATAGCTTCCCTCACTTCAGCCGCGCTCTTAGGACCGGGTTGCGCTCACACTTCCAGAGCCTCCTGCACGACCGGGATGCGTTGCTCGCCGCCGCAATGCTTGAATACAGTGGATTTTTATCTAAATTTGAGTACATTCTGATTGTTACAACAAGGTTTACTTATTTAACTTTTGTTTATTTAACTGGTCTCTCTCTGGTCTCTCCCTGGTCTCTCTCTCTGGTCTCTTTCTGGTCTCCACTTTCTCAAGATTTATTTTGTTTGAAGGAGAACAGTCAGTAGTAGCAGTCCATCACAGCATCTATGACAGCACACAACTACAACATCAACAACAACACTACCACTACTTGTAGTTGTTGTTCTGATCTTCTGATGGCAACACTTGGATCGCTTCTCCATCCTTGTTCAAAATGAACCAAGGTATTACGTATTTACTGACAAATATAATGTATGTAATGTAAATAGAAGTAAAAGTGTATGGTAGGAAATCATAACTTTTGCTTTTGAACCCCTTTTCTGAATCTGTACAGACAAATGATTGAAAAAAAGTTTCAATCAAGTTGGCCAAACTCCTCAGACTGTCAGTCAAGCTGCACAGGGAGTCAGTTTGACTGGGAGAAGTATGGTAACTTGAGCACTATCCTCTCCTCCTTCCTACTTACCTGTTTAGCATCATTAGGATTTTGACTGTATAGTGTTTTTCATTGATTCACTCGTTGTCCCATTGTCTGTTTCAGACAATTGTCTGAAAATAACAATTGTAAACCGCTTTGTATGACTCTGGGTCTGTGAAAGGCGGTATAATAACTAAAGATTCCTTACTTTACTTCAAGGTACGATGACGGGACCTCTGGACCCTGGCCTCCTCCA